CCTTCAGTAGGTATTGATGAGTCAGCCAAGTTTGTCCAATTCTCAAACGAGTAAGGACAACTCCAGATTTTCTATTATACTGCCTACCATATACCCAATTTGCTACCAAAGGTTTGATTTCGTGTAATTTATTGTGGACTTGTACGTTTCACAAACTTTGCCATCTCTCTGCTAATATTTCTTAAATGTAATGGCAAGTGTAAAATTTGTTTCAGAAGTAATGAAAATTGTGTTAGTTTTCAATTTCAGAAATGTAACTTTTAAATGTTTGCTTATGGGGAGACATTTAAAAGTAACTGTGGAAATTTATCCTGGTCAAGTATTCTTTCCTTTATATGGCATTTAATCCGATTGGCTGGCCTTACAAATACGCTCGGCTGGCCGTAAGTATAAGTAAAAGAACTTCCGTTGATTGTGCAACTTACATTAGACATGTAATGATAATTTCGTTAAGTAATTTAAGTAATATGAAAATTTGAGGACCGGGAAAAACCGTAGAGATAGATGAAACTGCGGTTTGAAAAAGGAGATATGAGAATAATCGGCAATTGTAAGGTATGAAATGGGTTGTATGTGGTATTTGTAGGAAGGACAAGAAATGTATCGTGTGTTACGATAATGATCGATCAGAGGTGAGCAATAAGTGGGTTGTGAGTAAATTTGTATTGATACATTCAAGAAGTTTTGTATATACAGACGAGTGGAAAGTGTATAATCACATTTATCATTTGGAAGGAATTGAAATACAACACAAAACAGTAAACCGTGCTAAAAATTTTGTAAACCTTGTTACTAAGGTTCATGCCAAAACTATTGAAAGATTGTGGCGATGTTTAAAAAAGGAAAAAAATGCCATTTGATTACACAGAGCAATTGTGAGATTTTTATTTATATGCTTTTATGTATAAAAAGTTCATGAAATGGAACAACTGCGGCCAGGAGAAAGATTTACACAACGCGTAAGCAGAATCTATCCAGGTGCAGGACGTTTGCTGATATGGAATGAACCTGTAACTGTTCCCGCTGCTCCAGAAGCGAAAATCAAAAAGGAAAAACGTTTTAAGAAAAGGGGCGACAATTGCAATGAAGAAAAATCGATGAAATTAAAGAAGCAGAACGTCGTTACGAACGTTCGAGAATCTGAAAGTAGTTCTAAAAAGCGAATTACAGCTAACGAATGAATGATATTAATGGTGAATAGTGTTTAATTGATTCATTTTTATTTATAGGTTGTTGTGGGTTAGCGCGACTCGAGGCAAAAAATGTTCAACCTATTTCTATGATTGCAAATTTTCATCTATAATCTTATTTATTTATATTTGTAGTCTTAAATCTGTAGTTGCACATAATAGAATATCAGAATAAGTTTTGCTAGTTTATCACGTGAACCTGTTAAGTACGGTAGTTACGTGATCGCGCATCGCTTTCTTACGGACGTCGTTGGGAGAGAGAGTACACTGAACTGAAAGGGCGGCCATGATGGTTTCAGATAGTAAACTTCAACCCTACATTCTAACAAACACGATTGTCTATGACTTCGAACAGGGGCAGCCCAAGCCAGGTTTCCAGGTGGTGCGAGATCTCATTGTGGTGCCTCCTGTAGAGTCTAAACTAATAACGTACATTTTTCACGTTATTAATATCTCAGACCTATGAGAGATTAGTATAGTAATAATATGGTTGAGAAACGATAACGACGGTAAATAGAGAAATAACTTGACTCTTGTTAATTTAGATGTATTGCAAGCTGTTGACGTTTCCCCCTCCTCTCCGTTGTTGGAATCTCTTAAATTTAGGTTGAGGTATAACACACATTTCAGGATTATGTTTTATATTCTCACAACCCAGCTCACTTATGTGTAAAATATATAGCACAGTACTAGTATGGATGAGGAACAATAACAGTGAAAAAAACTAATATTTCTTTCACGAGGCAATATGTATTTAATTTCATTCATAAAAGAATATTCACAACAATATTTATTTAATCTGCCATGGCACAGACAACGCTCACATCACACAAAAGACAAATTTAAATTGTAAATTAATTTAAAATTCAAACAAATTAAGAAAAATAAAATAAAATAAAAAGCCTATATTGTTCCCTTTCTCGCTTTTGCGCTTGATAATGTTGTTGTTAATTCAGAATAATTATATTCCTGTACAATAATATTTTCGATAGATTAAATTGCTAAATCTGACAGTCTATCCTGACATGGTTGAAGGTAAATGAGTTTTAGTAATTTTTAAGTTACTGAAACTTCATTCTCCTTTAGCGTCAGTTACAGGTATGGTCAGCAAAATTCGAAGTGCTGTCCACATATTCGGGAATATATTTTGCCGATCATTTTTTTAATAAGTTGAACTTTTATTGGTTCTGATGATCCAAGTTTTTTCAACAATGAATTCGGGTGTGAAAGTTCCTCAACCAATTCACAACCAAATATGTCACATTTTTCTGCATCAGTTAAACGTATTTCTAAATTTAAACAGGCTTTTTTCAACTTTGACTTTTCATGAATTGTTTTGATGTTGCATAAAAAGGACCATGTATTATTAAATTTGGATAGTTGTGTAAATGGAGTGACTAACGCATTGTCAATCGTATCGATCATAGGGTAAAAGACGTTTAGTTTAAACCAGTGTTTTTCAACTGTGGGTCGTTACCTCCACGGGGTCGCAAAGCCTTACACGGGGGGTCGCAGGTAAAAAAAATGACAAGTGTTTGTAGGTCCTAAGCTACATTAAATAAAACTATAATTTCAGTGAGAAGGCTGTACCTGTTTATTTTACAGTATAATTGGTTTTTTGATCGACATTTACGCCTCAACCATGGGTGTTGCCAGGTGCAGAAAATTATAGTCGTAAAAGTGTTCTGCTGATTTGCAAAAAAAAAATTAAAAAAAAGTAGAAGCTGAAAATCCTGATCCTAAAAAAAGGCCAATCGCTCCCTGTGCCCAATGTTAATTTTAAAGAAAATTTCATAACTTATCTGTGTTAAGTTAATGTCGATTCTTATGAAATTTTTTTTAATTAACAATAATTTGTCTCAACAAAAAGAAAATTAAATACGTAGTTTTTATAATTACTGATATAGTTTTAGTATGGCCCTGGGGGGTCGCCAGAGTTTTTTTTTACTTGTAAAGGGGTCGCGTATTCAAGAAGATTGAAAAACACTGGTTTAAACAATTCTTCAAAATATGCTGGTGTCTCATCTGCGGCCTCGTATGAAATTTTTTTTAATTAACAATAATTTGTCTCAACAAAAAGAAAATTAAATACGTAGTTTTTAAAATTACTGATATAGTTTTAATATGGCCCTGGGGGGTCGCCAGAGTTTTTTTTTACTTGTAAAGGGGTCGCGTATTCAAGAAGATTGAAAAACACTGGTTTTAACAATTCTTCAAAATATGCTGGTGTCTCATCTGCGGCCTCGTATTTAAATAATCTATTCTTTCTTCGGAATCGGACTGACTTAAAAATAAGATATATTCCAGCCTGAAAAGCAATTTTCACTAGCTGTTATCACAGATGTCGGGCCCTGTCGCTCCATTGTGGGTCTGGCCGAACCCATAATGGGCCTACTATAAGAGGCCTTCTTAGTGCCTACAGGGCGGAAAGAGTATAAAAAAACTGTTATCACAGCAGACGAATAACGGCGGAACTCTTTTTCAAATTCTTCTACAGTTCTTCAACAATTGTGTAGCGTTTGGTAAATTCTTAGTTTCAGACTACATAGTCTTGGTTACAATGTTTACTTGAAACAGTATATCATACCAAGCCACTATTGTTACTATAAACTCAAATTGCTCCATGATCTGAATCAAAGACAAGGCCTCTGATGCTGCCACTTCATGATTCGTTTCTTCGTGAAGATCCAGAGAGGCGTCACGAACTGAAGAGTAGTGATAACGAACTGCAGCGAGGCACTCTGCTTTCACACTTGGCAGAGTCACCATCTGGAAATTTCGAGTAAATTGAAGTGTCTGACTCCTAAATACAGTTCTATCAAGACGCATTCTTGTCGGTATATAGACAATGTAACCCCTAGGATTATTTGATTAATTTAATACCATCTCTACTACTAAGAAATTTTGAGTTAAATTCACATATTTAATTCAAATATAAACTGGTGTGACATTTTCTTTATATCGTGATTATCCGTTTATAATTAGGATAATTTATATTTAACATAAAGCAAATTCGCAAGTGCTTTCTCACCTGGTATCGGTACGAAGTAATTAAATGATAATCACGAGATAATAAATAAATAAATTTTCAAGTCAGCTGTAAAATTAATTTTCTTTTATTTCATACTTCTTATGAAGTGTACATAAATACAAAATTGTATTTTACAGTGAACGAAAGTATGTTTGAATATTACGTATAGATTATACGTTCATTAATCGTGTATGTCAGACATAGACCAATGCTGCTCTTGCTGAAAGTGTTAATTTCTATTGTTATTATTATTTTTCAATTTTATTTTTACAATTTTATGAAAATATGTTCATTAAAAAAGTCAATATTTTTTTATATTATATTAATATTATATAATAAAATCGCAGTGCAGAACTGAAACACAGAATAAAAAAGTATAGAACTGTGGCTCCTTTTTGTAAAACCTACATTTCGGCTCTCACTGAACTCTTGCTTGCCCACCCCTGGTATATGTAAATAACGAATGGTTAATTATACATGAAAAAGATAGCTGTTTACAATACATCAATTTCACACAATAAAATACATTATAAAGTTAAAAATTGTAAAGTTGCTTATTATATATAATTATTGTATAATGCATTATAATAATTACAATCAGTTAGTATTAATATCGTAATAAATTTGAACTTTTCGTACGTAATGCGAAATAGAATTTTATGGTGTTTAGAATACAATTCAGAATATTCAATTACTTAAATAATGATCTGTACTATCGAGTGTAATTAGTAAACAAAATAAAGAAAATGTAATGTTTTATCTTCTGTGTGTTAATGAGCATAATGATTATAATAGTTATTTACTGATTTTACGTTAGTAAAGAGGATTACAGGTAACAATTTTAATTACTTTAGTTAATATTATTTCAAAAATTAAGCAGATTAAAGACACCAGATATCCAACGCTCATAAGTAATAAAGGACTTTTAATGTCTTCGATTGACAACGGTTGGAATTCCCATGTTTCTTGGAAATCTTCAACTTCTTGAGGAAACAATTTCTCAAATATTCCAGCTTCAAACATGCGAGTTACTCTACAATAAGAGTGTTTTAAATATACTTAAATAAATATTAATTGCGGTATGCACAATAAATGAATTTATAAATATTTTACGTGTTAGTTAGTTTTTTCTTGAATGGAAAATTCTTTCTAATTGGATAAGCGATCATATATGTACGAAAAGAATCTTTCGACATATAATATTTATGCTTTTCTACGTTACTGATGTACGCATTTAATCCAAGTATATTTATTATGTATGCAAATCGTTCATCGTGAGCTTTTTTAATGCCTTCTGCTGTAACCATGAAGTTATTATTCGACAGAATGTTTTCTTTTAAAATTTTAATATTTTTCGATTTCGATTCCTAGAATTTATAATTATATTAACATAAAACACAATCGTTATAAAAAACCGATCCTTCTATATAGAAAGTACAAATCTTTAAATTCAAAACACTTACCATCATCTCTTTCCATGGAAGAAATCCCTTGTATGTTCCACAGGAATACTCACCGTTGCGGACGAAAACAGCAAGTTCTTGAAAATCTTTTGGAAAAGACTCAGTTAAAGGACACGTCATAAAAGACATTAACGCCCCGCTGTAACTGGATACCAAAACAAGAATCGATAACCACCAAATTCCTATCATTAATCTGGACGCAAATCTTTTCACTTTTTCTAGATTCAATCCTAAATTAAATTAAATAGACTTTTTCTTTATAAAACTTAGATTTTCAGTTTTATCATAATTAAATAATTTTACCTTGACTCAGAAATGTACAAAGTAAATTCCAAAAAACTGTACATAGAGTCCATCGTTTTCCTGTTTTAGCCGCGACAAAGTCCTTCTCTAGCACTTTATATAGCGTTAGTCCAAATATCAATACAATAGAAAATATAGCGATCCAAACCTAATTACATAAAACATAACTTAATGTTTTAGTTATAATTATAGTTTAACATTTGTTATTGTTACTTGCATTTAAGGTGAAAGGCTTCGTTACAGAATTCCAGTCAAAAACTTTATCTGGAGCTTTAATAAGAAAAACTACACGGTAATAAGTAAAAACTGACGTAAACTCCATTGCAGAGAAGCGTTCGAGGTTGACACCTAGAGGTACAAAGGCCACATCTGCTTCCTGAATTAGAAAATTAATTATAAAAGCTAAAGTGAAAATATAATTTAAAATGTTGATTGATAAAATATCAAATTAAATTGTTGTGCTTTTCAAACTGTTATACAATTTTTATTGGTTTTTAAGGATATTGTAAGATTAACATGTCCGAAGAGTAATACTAATTCGTTTTTTATTTAATCAATTTGAAACCGAAGAATTTAATTTTGTAACTATTTTATATCAAATATATTTAATCTCTACGGCTGTTTTGCAGAAAAAATGTTCAGTTTACTACGTTTTAATAATTACTTTTTAATATTATTTTGTGAAAATATTATATAGAGATTATATAGAATTTTCTATTATAGTCTCTTAACACCCTCTACCAGATACTTCAGATACCAAGCAGTGGAACGATTAAGTAAAAAATAAACGAGAATTATCTATAAATTTACAAGAGATATAGCAGGAAAAAGGGAGTAATTACATGTCATACCATTTTGAACGCGGCTGGAAATTGCGTATAAACATTACTAGAAACCAAATGTTTAAATGCCACATTAAGACTAATGCTGTGGTCACACCATGCGATTTACAACCGTGCAGGCGATCATACCTGCAACACGCGCGAGTTGCGCACGTCTTCTTGTGGTCAAACATTGTTCGCTGAAGTTGCAACACGGAAAATCGTGACCCAATAAACCAATAAAGTTACTGTACTTTGTGTTTGACTACTTTTGTGAGTTTACTGTCATTCTACGTTCTACATTATAGTATTTACGGAATTTTAGCTTCTATTCTTATTTCACTTTTTGTTTCTAATCGCGGTTGCAGTCGCGCCTAGGGTTGCCACCTGTCCGGGTTTGACCCGGAGACTCCGGGATTGAGTGAGTTATCTTCGGGCTCCGGGATTAATTAATATTTCTCCGGGTTGTACAAGTTGAAATGAATATGTACAAAATTATATGCAAACCGTCTCATATATTTTTTCCCCTATATCGAATTTCTAGTATGGTAGTCGTTGGCTTGAAGACATAACATCTATAACTGGCATAGGCACAGTGCTGCTGCATGCTATGTGGATGTATACTTTCTTGTAACTTTTCTGTCAAGAGATATCTATTTAGAGTTAAATGATATAACGTACATAGCTGATAGTTTGATAATCAGTGTTCATGTTGGTTGATTAATGGTAAGTTATAGTATATAGTTAGAGTTCGACTTGAGCAGGTTAAATAGCATTACATAAGAAACGGTCTGTTGGACCGTGAAAAAAAAAAATATATATATATATATATATATATATATATATATATATATTTTAGAT